AAGTATACAATAGGAAAAAAAAAGATAGGTCAGCGCTCGTTGATGCAACATAGTCAATATCACAAAGATATTACAAAAGCAGCTTTACACAGTTGAATAATCAATTGTACAGCGTATGAAAAAAGAAGCATTCATTGATGAATTCATACTTCTTTCGCATTGGACTATTATAAAAAGGCGTAGTTTGCCAAAATAACTGTCAAGCCGTCAGAACTCTCGCTTCCCAATAAACTCAATACATACCAGTAACCAGTAGAGGCGTTTTTGAGCTGTTTTTAAAGCTGTCGTCTACAGCTAGTTCCGGATCCAAGTCTTCTTCCTCCTCGCCGTGCCTTCTCAAAGTAATCTCATCGACATCAACATCACCCAACTTATTTGACAACTCCTTCTTAATCGCCTTTATCAAGTCATACACCTCCCCTCCTTCAAAGTCAATTCTTGCAGGCTGGCCATCACCATATTTTACCCAGATTCTTTTAGGTGACGGGGGGCTCAAGCGAACGTCCTCCATCGCTGTTTCGTTCATAGACAATATTAATATACCTTCTACAAAACAGTACTCGTAATAAATCTACTTTACCGCTAGACAGCTCTGTCCGCAACGGAGGAGCAGCGTCGTGTCTGGATGTTGACGAAGTCGCTTGAGCAGCTATAGTTATTATCTCTTATTAATTCTAGCCAGTGGTTTCATTTGCAAGAGCTTGAGCACATCTCTACCTTACCTTTATCTTTTTCCTTCCGCGTTCGCGTCATCGATGTTCAGACCAGCTGCGCTCCATTGCATATGGAACAATTTATGCATCATCAAATCAGGTTGCCCGATTGTTGCCCCGTACGACTAGTACGAATACCTACATTCTTTGTTAGAACGTTGTCTCTAAATTGTCACACAATATAAGTTCTAACCAATACTAATTAGCGATTGTTATACTACCATAAAGAACAACAAAGACGCTCAAGATGTGCTTTATGTGTTTGAAATAATCTTTGTTTATCGTCAAAAGAAAAAGGATTCAGAGGTAAATCAAACGGTTTTTGTCTAGACTTTTAACAAATCGACCTACCTTTTATGAGCGCATGAAATTACTATATATAAACGAGACGGTCAGAATATCCCTTCTTCATTGTGCTAAGATAAGTGATGTGTGCAGTTGGGTCAAATGTTCATGGGAAAGCACATCCTCAGTCTTTGAAA